AAGGGTTCATTTGCACTTTAATGGAATCTAGGGGGGTAAGCTTGAGCCGTTTTGACTGCAATATAAATTCTCATGTACATCACATTCCTCGAATTATCTTTACCAGTTTTCAAAAATCGTTTAAGTAATGCAATTTGAAACGATTATTTGAAATATTGTGTTAGTCACGTTTAGGTTTCTTTTAGACAACATCGTTTGCATCGTCTACTACAATATTTGCCAATTCCGTGTTTAGTTATATGTACGATAAATACTTTACTTTAAACCGTTTGTCACCCAGCAGTTTTTCATGTAAGAATTTTATCGTAGAAGAGATCTATAAACAATTCTGTTGATTTAATCTGGAAAACTATTCTCATGAGGAACATACAAACTTGAATCGGAAAAAAATTCGCGAAGCATTTGATCGTGGTAGTCATTATGAATGGCGCCATCATGCAAACAGCCTATAGTGCAGCTACTATAAGCCAAAAACTTGTAGTAATTAATAATCATGGGTTTTGTGATAAAAGCATGAAAATATAGAGCTTTTAGTGTAATAATAATTGAACAACAAAAATTAGCGAAAAATAGTACGACGTTTCAACATCCCGTATAGTATTGTCCAAGCCCACACTTACACGGCGCTTCTTGTACGGCGCGAAAAAATCGTTCATTCCATTTCAAATAATTTTGTATATCAGGTTCATACGAAATTATTTGAATAAGAGATTCTTCAAGATTTATGAGTTGGGGCAGCTATGTGGATTCTAAGTTTTAAAGCAACATCTTTTTGGTAGTCCCCCCTTTACAATCGTAAAATTTATTTGTGCCCTCCCCCCATTGCAGAAAATAATCATAACCCCCTTGGTTTTTCATAGCCCCAAAAATTTTAAGCACAGATAATTAATGACTTCCCTCAACATCAACATAGTAACCCATTAATTTTAAAAGGTCCTTAAATAAAAACCATTTCTCTAGATTTACGCATAAAACGTAAGTACAGTAAAAACAAACAAGGAACACCGACACCATTTTATTAATATCTGAGAGCTTAGTAAGTACGTTTGTAGTGAAAGTCATTCTCCATACACGACTTTCAAAAATGGCCGCCAAACTCGGTTGGGACTAGGGACAATTGAATGGAAGCGAGGTAAGTAAGGCCTCATTAGTAAACAAAGTCTATTCAGTACGATATTTTGCGTCAAAGTCATTCATCTCACCAATTCGAGTTCTTTTAAGCGTCTTTTCAAGTAAGGGAAAATGACTTTGACACAAAATATCGTACTGAGTAGACTTTGTTTACTAATGGGGCCTTACTTATCTCGCTTCCATTCAATTGTCCCTAGTCCCAACCGAGTTTGGCGGCCATCTTTGAAAGTCGTGTATATACTAGCTAAAAACTAAAAAATGAAATACATACAAAATAATCATGAATCCCTTTCTTCTATAATGCGAAAAGTCAATTGTGACTTTACTTCAGAGCAAATGATAGTCCTGGTAATTGAAAAGTAAGATACTAGTTGAGTTTTCTCCTTGATTTTCGCTTGCATGGTAAGGCTGCACATAAGAAGCGCAACGCGCCGAAAATAAAGGCTCTCATATTGTTTAATATCCCATGTCAGTATCGTCAAGCACAACCATCTTTTGTCTCCTTAAAACACGTGGATATCCTTATTTCTTCAGTACATTATAATATAAATACCAAATTTACATCGTGAAAAAACTTTATGAGCAATAAGCGCAAAATAAAAATAAAAAATACATATTTTATAATAAATATATTAAAGAATATTAAAATTTCATAATTTAATAATAAATAATAATAAATAATATGATTTATATAGCGCTCAACCTATTAAAATATTCTAAAGCGCTTAACATTTATGGCTAGAAAATAAGTAAACAAAATTCTATTATGAAAAGGATATATAATGAGAAAAACCTTTTAATACAGAAAGGAAAAAAAATCACTAGATATCAATTATGAAATCTTAATCAAAAACTTTATAACTATAAACTATATAACTATATAATCATATTAAATTCGAATACAAAATTAAAACCTATAATATACACCTACTTGCAAGAA